GTGTGGGGCGGGGGGGGGCTCGGTCAGCCTGGACACCAGGGGAGATGTTTCTCAGGTACTGCCTTCCTTCAGAAAGCCTGGGGCATTTGGAGGCAAATTAATTGGTGAGCTTTCTTCTTTTTTTTTGTTTTTCAGCAAGAGAAAATAACCAGATTTAATACACTCATGTGTGTGGGACCCCTGTATATATGAGAGGGTCAGAGAACCTGCATGCAGGGGAGGTTCAGCGATAGAAAGGAAACATGGGTGTATAAGACACCCTGAGTTAGGGATGAGATAAAAGTGCTTTGGGGGCTTCAAAAGGCCAGTGAGGAAAAGTAAGAGCAGACCTCTAGTAAACAGAAGTTCACTCTGCCCTGCTGGTAGGTCAAAAGAAGTTATCTCTGATAATCTCTTATGGGCAAGGCCTCTAATAATTGGTGAGTTTTCTTGACAGTATTTGGCTCCACCCTCTGTCCTGCCTCACCCCCTGCCCTTCCCTGAAGAGGGTACTAGGATGGTGGCTGACTTTGCAAGCCAAGCCCTGAGCTACAGGGGTCCTGAGGCCAAGCTAGAGGCCTCTGGAGACTGGAGGAAGGATGGGAGGCAGCCAGCAAATAGCCAAACCCAAGAGAGGCCCCAAGGCTGGGTGTGTAGGAGTTTTAGGCAGCTGAGCAGTCACCACAAGCAGCTGCTCGTGGCAGCTGCTCAGCTGCCAGCTGAGTGTCCGTTGTGTGCCTGGCACTGTGTTGACTGTGGTACCTGCATTGTCTCAGTTTCCACCATGACAGTGTGAGGTCAGCCTGACTGTTAGCCCTGCTCACTTACCCAGCACACCATGGTTATGCACCTGCTGCATGCCAGGCACAGGCCAGGTGATGGGGACCCATGCTGTCCCTCTCACAGTGCTCTGTCCGGCAGACAGGCAGACAAGCATTGGGCCACTTCAAACATGGTGTGTAGGAGGGAGTGGGACAGGCTCTCAGCCAAGCTGGGGGTCAGGAAGGGCTTTGGAGCAGATGGTAGGAGGGGTGAGGGGAGAGCCTGGAGGTCAGGACTGTGCACCTGGTCAGGGCAGCACTGAAGGTCACCCATGCCTGCTTGCCCAGGGCATGGCCCAGCTGGGCTAAGACTCTGCAGAACTGTCCATCCAGAAGTCCAGGCTCTTCTAGAGCCTTGCTTCCTGGATAAGCCTTTGGAACAGAGAGAACAAAGGGACCTGTGTGCCTGCCTGTGTCTCCCCACTGTCAGAGGCACTGACAGCATCTCAGAAGGGATGAGGTTTCCTGACGCTACTCCTGCCTGGATGGGATCCTGCCCTTGACCTCAGATTATCACTTCATCTGTGGTGCCAGAGGAACCCGGTTCTCTCAAGTAAATACCTTGAGGCAGCAGCAAAAAATGCATGTGTTTGTTCTGTCCTTCCCAGTGTACTAGAAACAGCCAAGGAGGTTCCTGTAGGCAAACGTTTCTGAGCCCTGCAAAGCTCTGAGTCATTAGCACCTGGTCCCGGGGGCTGAGCTGCCAGTGCAAAGACAAAGACGGTTTGCCTTAGTGGGTGGAGGGAAAGTAGAAACCAAAACTGGAGGGTCCACCTCACCTGTGCCCCTCAACCTTCTGATCTGGGCTAAGCCAGACTGATCACACACAGCAGAGGGGGCTGAGGAGCCAGTCTGTACTGTGCTAAGAGCTTTGGTGTGTTTAATCTTCACAATAACCCAGTTCCTAGACAATTATGGAGGGGAGACTGAGGCACAGAGAGGTTCCATACCAGCCTGAAGTCACTCCCCAGTGGATGGGACCGGCAGTCTGACTCAGAGCCTCTGCTGCTGTTTCCACTTCTGCCCCAGGATTTGGAAGAAGTTGAGGCTGCAGCCATGATGGTGACACCAGGGCCTTTGCACAAAATCGTCATGTACCAAACCAGCTTCGAACTTTAGGGAGGGATGTGGGCTGGGAGCAGGTCTCCAAATGACATTGTTCAAGTAATGTGCACAGCTCATGGGTTCTGAGGGATGGGTCTGATTCTGTGGCTTTGGGCAGCTCCTCTCTGCAAGGTCCACTCTCCCTTACCTCCCACCCCAGTTGCTTGGGAGAAGGGCTTGGTGACGACAGGTGCTGAGCATAGTCAACTACTGGGGATGGAACAGGGGGGCCAGGCAAAGTGTCACCAGGAATTCTGTGCTTTCTGCCAGGAATCTCTCCAGAATGTGAGGAAAGATGTGATTTCCTTGTACTTGTTCCTCAGGAGTCCTCAAGGCCAGAAGTAGAAAACTCAAAGGCTCATTAGGACCAGGGAGGTGACTGGAGTGAGCAGAGGTGACAAGAACGAACCCTGTTCCCCTTTGTGATACCCACAGCCCTCCTCGCCTATGTTTCACTATTCCTCTTTCCATTGAAACATGGACACAGGGCACGTTTCACTTTCCTCATCACTCCGCTTTGACAAAGGTCGCAGTTCCAGTTCGTGTGTCAGCTCTGGTGTCCGGGAGGCCGCAGGGAGTTGTGTGCCCACATCCTGACTGGCTGTGCTTTCACTCCTGCTGATTGTTGCCACGTGGCCTGGATCTTCTGATATTTGAGAGAAGGCGGAAAGCTAGATTTCTCTGTGAGGTCTTTCAATTGGGAATTATTAGATGATTCAGTTAAAAACAAAGCCAAACACAACCAAACCAACGTAACACCGCATGGCCCAGGGCACTGTGTGGACTGTGCAGTGTGGGCCCAGCTGGCTGCAGGCTTGTGGTTTCTGCTCTGGGTCAGGCCCGCTCTGCGTGGCGACTGGGCTGCATGGGCATTTCCAGCAGCTTGAGCAGGGCTTGTGGGATTGCTCATGGCTTGTGGCATTACCCCAGGATTGCCCATGCACTTCCTGGGTGGTGACGATGAGCCATGGGACTACGCCCACGTACCAAAGCCAAGTGCCAGAAGCCTCTGGCTTCTCTGGAGCTCAGTTCAGCTGACTGGTGGATTTGCAGATATAAAGCCAGTGAGTTCTACTAAAGCCTGGCTGCCCATTAGTGGTGACCCACGGCTGAAAATGTACAGGTCCAGAACACTGACTATAGAGGGAGAAAATGCCCATCCACCCAGATACAGTCACTGTTAACACGTTTCCCTTTCCTTTTCTATACACATAGATTAAATATTTTAAGAGGCTGTACTCATATAGACAGTTTCATATACCACTTTTGGCTCAACATTATAACAAATATGTTATTAAAATAGCATATAAAATTATTTTAAATAGATGGATAATATTTTTTAAAGATGTGCAATATTCCATCAAATACACATGT